ATTTATTTATTTGACAGAGAGAGACACCGCAAGAGAGGGAACACAAGCAGGGGGAGTGGGAGAGGGAGAAGCGGGCTTCCTGTGGAGCAGGGAGCCCGATGTGGGGCTTGATCCCAGGACCCTGCGATCATGACCTGAGCCAAAAGCAGACGCTTAACGACTGAGCCACCCAGTTGCCCCCTAAATAAACAAAATAAACAAAAAGGGCCTGGAGGCCCTTTCCAGCTCTGTAAAGCAGCAGGACCGTGAGGGCCAAATATATTTAATTCTGGTAGGATAGCTATTGTAGTCTCTGCATCACTTTCGGGGGGCTGTAATAGATGCTACTGATGCTTCGTCTCCTTGCCATAGCTCGTGTCTGACTAGCTGCGGCTGGGGTGGACAGTTACGCACATGATGGCTTCCCATCGGAAGCACAACCATCTCTCTCAGCTTTTTGCGGCATGGAGTGTGGGGGTAGTTAATATCCCCAGCGTCAGTCTTCAACCAAGGGATTTAGAGGTATACATTTAGTCAGCTAAATAAATACTCAACATCAGAGGAACAGTTCTCAAGTGCATATTCAACAGTTCTTCAGAGAGTCACAGGCGGGCTTGAGCCTCGTTACCCACAGTGGTAAACATCTCAATAACACACCATTTACTGGCTTTCCCTCCTCTGTTCCATTCTTTCTACTACCTCATTCCAGCTTCTTAGGATCACTTCCTTAATAAACTAACTGCTTCCAAGCCCTTGTCTCAAGCTCTGTTTTGGGGGAAATATAAATTAAGGCATGATCTCAAACACTTTAGTCCATGGCATTTATTCACTCAAAAACATTGACTGAGTGATTATAATGAATCAGGCTGTGTATTATGTGCTGAAAATACAATGGTGAATAAGAGATCGAGTCTGATGGGGCACACAGATTAATAGTCAATAATTGAATAGTGTAGTAAGCATCATAAACAGGGTAAACATGGGTACTATTAGTTGGGAAGAGTCACCAGGTATAGCATCCCTGAATTGTCCCTTTTGCTAGGTATTAAGAGAGAGTGGGTGACAGGACAAAGCAGACAGAAGCATCTTTAGCTTGGACTTTATACCCAACTCCTGGGCTTCAGTTTGGGATTGAGGTAAGCCTAAGTGGTATGCCCAGTCCTCCCTTCCTCTAGACCACACTCATTCGGCCTTCTTAGAGCCTTCTAAGAGGGAGTCCCAGGTCAATCACACTGCATGAATCCAGTGGTGCTTCAAAAAAATTCAAATCTTCACAAGGGAACTACTCCCTATCCCCCCAAAATTCCCCAAAGAGAACACATTCTGCCTGCAAAGCCAGAACTTTATCCCTTATGACACAAAACTTTGCCCTTTTGTAGTGTGGCCTTAAAACCTTGACCTTGCCACAACCATAATCCTTTTTAGCCCTATATTAAAGGGAGAAACTTGAGCTTGATTATCATTTAGAATGTGAAACTACTATAATGCCCTCCATCCCCCTTTCTCGGTGCCATATTCCTAAGTCTTCTGTTTGAAGGACTTTAGAACACTGTGCATATTTACTGAGAAAACTGCCCTGAGGCATTCTTACCTAAAACCCACTATTTTTAGGCGACTCTGCCAAATTAGTCCTAGCTTTTGGTATGTACTTTCTTTGCAAGTATCTTCCCATTAGTGAGGAATTTAGGTTCTGAATCCCAGTAAATGGTGGGGCCAACTGCTGCTTCCAGGGTTCCACCCAGGCTTTCCAGTTTTAACAGTTAAACATGGCGTTGAACTCCATCCAGTTTTTACCACCTCATGTCAAATGAACATCTTGGTGATAATCTAGTCTTCACCTGATGCTGAGAATTGATGCTATCTAGAATTTATATGGAGCTTCCTGAATTTTTCCTGTCTTAGCACTTGAACTACTTGCTTATCTTTTCAGCCAGTCTCTAAACTCTTTGAGGCCACAAAACGTCTTATTTACCATTGTCTCTCCAGGGCCTAGTGGTGTCAGTTGACTAAAGGAAGGCTTGTATTAGGTAAAGACTCTTTCAGTTGCTAAAGACAGAACACCCAACTCAGATTAGCTTACGCAAACACCCAAAACCAAACCAAGCCAAAACAACCCCAGCACATTATTAGTTCATGTAACTGCGAAGTCCAAGGCTCAAGTAATGTTATAAAGAGTTCATCTTTCTCCATTTTTTACTTTCTTCTCTGCTGTGTTTGGCTTTACTCTCAAGTAGGCCTTTAGATTGAGGTCCCTCGTGCAGCAAATGCAATTTTCAGTTCTGATTGGGCCCAATTGTCTTGGTCTGATCCATGTACCTATTCCTAAACCAGTCATAGAAGCCTGGAGAATGTGCTTCTCTGCTTGGCCAGACTTAGGCCACATGTTCATTCTTGAACCTGGAGGTGAGGGCTTCAGCTCCATATAAGTATGGTGGATTGAGACGGGTGTGTGTGTTTATGTGCAGGGATATACGGGGAGCATGGATACTGGGGAGCCAAAGTAATTCCACGGTCACTCCTTTTGTAATTAAATGCATTTTCCTGAATTTGGACCCTTGTGGGACACGGATATCTGCCCACACCGGACTTGCCTGTGACTGTCAGCTCTTCCCTGAGGTGGGGGCCACCACTCCAGCCTGGAGTATTTCCCAGGCTCTGTCTACCCTGCTTACAGCTTGGTCCTGCTTGTCCTCTTCAGGCTCTAAATGTTCCCAGCAAGCTGCACAGTGCATGCAATGTCCTTTCAGACACTTTGGCAACTAGTGAGTCATGTATACAAAGAACCATTGAAAGGCAGAATGTGGTCAATTCTCTAAGAGAGTAGTGAAAAGATGTTTGGAGAGCAGAGATAAAGGCATGCAACATCTGGCTGGAGCATGAGAGCAGACAAACGCTTCAGGGACTATCAAGCACCCAAGACAAGTTTAAGTGTAAGCTGAATAATGATAATAACAGTTTTAGCAATGACAGAAGCTAGTACATATAGGACTTACCATATGTCAGGCCCTGTTCTAAGAATTTTATATGAATTAACCCAATGAATCTGCCCAATACTTTTTTTTTTTTAAGATTTTATTTATTTATTTGAGAGAGAGAGTGAGAGAGAGCATGAGAAGGGAGAGGGTCAGAGGGAGAAGCAGACTCCCTGCTGAGCAGGAAGCCCAATGTGGGACTCGATCCTGGGACTCTGGGATCATGACCTGAGCCGAAGGCTGATGCTTAACCACTGAGCCACCCAGGCGCCCCTGCACAATACTCTTTTAAGTAGGTACAACTATTCCCCTCATTTTATAGTCAAGGTTAAGGAGCTTGCTCAAGGTCACATGGTAAGAAAGTGACAGAATACGACTGGGTTCCTATCAAGCAGTGTCTTAAAGGCCAGGTTACAGTGTTAGACTTGACTTGCAGTTCTTTGAGTAGCTGTTTCATCTTTCCCGATGGATTCAAACTTCCTGACAGCAGGACTGAATCTAGTTCAGCTTTGTGTTCTCTAGAATATCTAGGTGGGCTATACATTTGAGTAGAAGTTACACAAAATTCCTCTTTGAGTAGACTATCTTTACTGGAATGTGCATTGTTAAACAAAATATGAAGTCTTCCACAGTGGTTATAAAACTAGACAGGAAGTTGTGGATCTGACTAATTGAGGCTTTCACCCCTGACTCAGTGTGTGACCGAGCAAATGGCTCTATGCTACAGAATTTCCAACTGTAAAAGAGAGGAAAACAAATATCCAATGTACCTCACAAGGACACAGAGAGAACATATTAATATTAACATATTAATAATAAAAAAATACACATAAATCCTGGCAATACTTGAGTAAAGGTACATGAGACCAAGATTATTTTTCCTAGTTTCACCATAACATCAGCAATCAGCAAATATGAATTAGGAGCCAAACATTCTACATACTATGGGATTACAATAGAATAAGACATGATTTTTGCTATTCCCTGTTTATAGGATTTAACAGGCAAGATCATTTTGAGTGGTAAACATGTAGACTATTTAATAGGACGTCAAAATGCTAAAGTACATTAGAGCTCATCTGGTCCAACATTTATAAATGGAAAATGAGATCCCAAAGGGGTAAGTAATAGTCTCAGCAAGAGTATTGTTAACGGAGAAACATCTTCAAAGAAAAGGACTGGGCTCTGGGTTTGAACCTCAGTTGAAGAGGTTACCGTATGTGTTACCTGGGGCCAGGCGCTTAGCTTCTTTGAACCAATTTCCTTGTCTCTAAAATGGGCATAATAAGAACTTACTTCAAAGAGCTGTCGTGGCGATTAAGATCATGCCTGTAAAACTTTCATCAGTGCCTGGCTAAGCACCACAAGTCAACTATTATTATTGTTACTTCTGTAGGAGAAAGGTTTTTTTTAGCTCTTTTTCTACAAGAAAAACCATTTTTTCTCTGGTCAGACCCCATTCATAAGGTCGGAGCAGAACAGAAAGTGCTTTCAACTGCTCGGAGATGGGCGCTGCAGGAACAAGAACCCAGCCATCCAGGGCGGCAGAGCACAGCCCCCCTCGGCAAAACCCATCTTCCATTTCCTCCCCTTCCTTTTCGGGAAAGCCAAGCTTCCCCCCCCCGCGTTCTGTAATCTTATTTTCCTGCCTCGCCAAGTCGCTGGCCCCTCTCTGGCTGCTCTCTGTGTCCCTTCGTTAGTGCGGAACCCGCGGCAGCGAGGCGGCCAGGACTGGCGCGTCGCTCCCTCCACGCCCCATTCTTCCCCTGGGCTCCAACCGGCCGCAGCTGCGTTCCGAAGCCCGGGCTCCCGCGGGGATTGACGCGCTGGGGGAGGAGCGGTTTCTCACTGCGCGCCTCTCAGGAGCATTACGGCAGGGCTCGTTCCCGGCTCCGGCCGCCAGCCCCAGCCTCCCCGGTCCGGAGCTGGGACTGGCGGAGGCCGCGAGGGAGGGAGCGCGAGCGAGGAGGCACGCGCCCGCCCGTCCGCGCCCAGACCGCCGCCGCCGCCGCCTTAGCAGCCATGGCCGAGCGCCGCGCCTTTGCCCAGAAGATCAGCAGGTAAATCTCGGGCGCGGGGCGCGCCGCCGCAGCGGGGGAAAGAGCCGGTAGCCCTCCCGAGCCCGGCCTAGGAGGCGGGTGGGTGTGGCGACGCGGGCGCGGGGATCTGGCGGCCTGGTCCGCGGCTG